TCCGACGCCATTAATTAATTCTTAGTTCTAATGCTCAACTAGTAATGATTATCTTAATTTATGCAATTGTGACGATCGATAATTCCATTTTTATTTATTATTCTTTCCCAAGATATAATAAACCTATGATTACCACGAGACGATTCTATTCCTAGTCTGAATTCATATGGCAAACATACATTATCATTTAAGATTATCACATAAGATCGCACACGTCACAAATATTATTCTTAATATTTATTGCCTGTATGTTTCATCAACAGTGTTCTACCTACCCTGAGTTTTTCAACACTACGAACAAGCAACTTATTGTCCTAATAGTACGCAAACATGAAACAATATAAATATGCATGTTAATGAAATCACAACACAAAAGTTAAAGATAAACACAGTCTCGAATTAAAACTAGAAATTAAACAACTTTGTCGTCCATCCAATGCATGAAAATACCTAGCCTAACATATTATTGGAATCAAACAAATAAAAGTGGAAGGACATCACCAAATTTTGACGGAACGTAATTAATTCCAAAATGATTCCCAGATTCTGCTTCAATTCCAACTGGAAGCCCATGTGTTTTCCTCTCTGACTGCGTGAATATATATATAAATCACCTCAAGGAGCTCCCTTAATTTCTATGTAACATAATTCAATTCAATTGCTCATTTGTCTCCTCCTTCTGCCGGCCAATTATAGTCTATGACTACAAATCGAAAAGGGGATCAAACACAAACTCGTGTTGAGTTTGATGGGTGACCAAGTCCAATAGTTAACTTCTGTTATTTAGTTAACTTCGCTAAGAGAAAAATAAGACGAGAAAATTAGAGGAACCCAACTACATTCACTTGAATCGCTTGCATTCAGTTTTTTTTCTTCGTTTCTTTTCTTTTCTTCCGCGACTAGCAATTGAAAAGTCACATCTGCCACTTGACCAAAAATGAGCAATCATGGTAGGGCTCCTCACCGAGTTAAAAATTGTCAAAAAATATTTTGGATTCTCAAATTTCTAGCTTAAAATGTCAAACTTTGTGGAGTTTGGAGTTCGTTTCAAATTTATCATCTTTATTGATTAATTTTATTAAAATTTTCTTTAAAATTTGTAGAGGAAATTATGTCCAAACTTGTATCTACATTAAAAGAAAAACAATTAAGTAATTTCAAAACAATTCTCAAAATCATATACAATTCTACTAGAAATGGAGGCAATAAAGATGGAATTTTAGCGACGAATGTCTTTTGGTGCAATTAGATATGGACGTTGGTGCAATTTTGTTGCTAATCCGTTGGTAAGAAATAAAAAAATAAATTAAATAATTTATCAAAGAATTTTTCAACGAATGATTCCATTGGAAACTATATTAAAGAATAAAATAATTATCAACAGAGAAAATTTGTTGGTAAATTATTTAAGTTAAGACACAATTATTAAATAGTTATTGACGGGAAAAAATAAATTAATCGGTATACTTTTTCTAGAAATTCAAGTATTTGTTAAATTCTTTTCTACTGAAATATTCGTTGGTAGTTTCAAGAAAAAAGCCTAAGTATCAACTAAAATTTGTAGACTAATATAGTCCATCGATAATGTTTTAAGAATTATTTAAAGTATTTGTTAAGCTTAAAAAAAAAAAAATAAAAAAAAATCATTTTGTAAACATGAAAATTGTGAAAAACATGGAAAAATAGTAAAATAATGTGAAATGTCATGAAAACATGGCAATGTGTCGACTACATACGTTTTGCAATTCACAACAAAATTTTATACTGTAAAAGTGAAATATAATATCCATTTTTTTGTTCTAAAAATTTAAAATTTGGAAAAAATAAAGCAAAAATTGTTGGGAAATGACAAAATTGTTGAATAAATATATTTTTTCTTAAAAAATTCTTGAAAAAATTATTTTACGTTGCTTAATTTTATCATACACTTTGTATTAATCACACTAATTGAGTAAAAATTGAAATTAAAAAAAAAAATCCACTAAAAGCTATATAAAAATATCAAATGTTATGAGAAATTTTGGAATTGGAAGAAGGAATGTATGATAGTCCAAACATAATTATTTGATAACCACAGATTTTGACGTTCAAAACTAACGTAGTCAACTTCGATAAACTTAATGATAATTTTGAGCGAGATAATTAACTGAAATAGTAAAGATATATGTTATTGACTTTGTTTGGTCGTTAGCTACAAAATTTAAGACATTAGCAACAAAAAGTTCCATTCCATCTCTAAAGCCGCATTTTTTGTTTTATAAAAGCTCAAAAATAATCGTCAAATCTTCCTCCCCACGTTCTCTCTCTATAGATTAACCCACCCCACTTAAAATTAAAGCCCATCATGGCAGAATCACCACCACCACAAAAGCTAAAATTCACCAAAGATGATTTCGATAGACAATCAATAAAAGCAAGTTTCGATTTGACATGATAGAGAAGGACAAAAATCGACCTTGCTCTGAGTTGGAGATTAATGATAATAAGAATGGTATTGATCCTATGTATGGCGATATGAAACTCTTAAATCGTTGGGACATTTGACACATTAAAGAAAGCACCTAAGATAGGTTTATGATCAAGAATAGGTAGCAACTCTATCTAGGAACCAGATTGACACGAGTGGGCTTGAATTATAAGCGCTTGACTTCAATTTTCCTTTTACTTTTTGTGGTGGTGCAATTTTCTTATAGTGTTTTGTGGTAGTTCGAGAATGGAAGTGGCGTCGTCAACTGTGCAATTTGTCGTCGCGGTATTGCCTTTTATGGTGGTACTTCCAAACTTACAAATTAAAAAAATACACAAAATGTAACAACAATAACAAGTTACAATTCCAAAAAAAATTACACACACTTTAAAAGAATTTAGATGTAACCTAAAATAAATTCTAAATTATAATTATTGCAGTTACAATTTTAAATAAATTATATACACTCTAACTTGATCTAAATGTATATTAACATAAAGTGTAAGTTACAATCTTTGTAACATGTTAAATGTAGTGTCTATTAAAAAAAAAAAAAATTAAGAAACTTTGTGAGATATAGAAAATTACGAGCATGTTGAAAAATTACTTACATTGTAACAAAGATAATAAATATGAAGATACTTGATTTTTTAGTATAATATGAGTTAAGGTGTTTTTGACTGCAAACATGAAATTTGTATGGAAAGAAAATAAATTTTAGGTAATTCAATTGCCTAGAATTTATTTGCATGAAAATTTTGATTTATTTAATTTTAAACCTAAAAAATATTATACTCGTCTGTTTTTTATTAGTGGGTAGATGAGAGAGAGTGAATTGTCAGGAAAATAAAATATTACTCCTCTTAAAAAAAATATTTTCCTTGATTTTGAGGAAAATATGGTCACGTAACCAAAAATAGAAAAATATTTTTCATGAAAAAATGACAATCAAACAGCATAAAAGTAGGAATTTGAATAAAAAAATACATTTTTCATGAAAAATATTGACAATCAAACGCACCTTATAATATTTATTAGTTCACTTGATTTTTCAATTTGGACTCTCAAATAGTTGTGTTATTAACTAGCACACTTTTTAGCAGACCCAGACGTGAACTGGGTGACAAAATTTTGGACTGATTTTCACGGGCTTAAACTTAATAAATGGGTTTCAATACTGGAGGCCCACTTATTACTTTCCCAGACTAACATCAAGCCCAATAAATATAATAAAAAAAAAAAAAAAATCTTTCATTCCCAAATCCCAAACGGTAATTTGATAATTTTGAATCAAGTTATACCATATTACTTTATTTTTCAGTATATGTGTATGAATTAAAGCAATAAACAATCATTACGGTGTCTGATTACACAGGAGAAGAGCTCGAGTTTGAGCTTCATTGATTTTTGCGTGTGTATTTTTACGGGTATCTGAGAATATGTTAATCTCTTTTAATTGCTGAATTTCTGGGGTTCTGAATTATATTCTAAGATTATATTAAGCTTTATTTGTACCATTTAGCTCTTTAGGGTTCTTAAGACTTTATTTTTAAATTTAAAGATTGGATTTTTAAGTCAATTGTTAATCAAATGGGTGCCAAATTAAGTAAATTCTGTAATTGAATTTAAGCTCTATGCTGCTTGTTTTTCGTGCTTGGATAATATAAAGTAGCTTGTGCAATATGGTGGAGAAATTAATCATAGGATTGTAAATATATAAGGTTCCATGGAAGTTGTGACACTGTGGACAAAAATGAGATTTTGTCGAGTTAATTGTTTCAATGGTCACTGAACTTAAATCCATGTCTTCAATTGCTCATTGAAGTTAAAAATGTCAAGTTTTGATCACTAAATTTTGAAAAATATTGTATATTACTCACTCAATTTTGAAAAATGTTGTACATTATTCATTGTAAACTCGATATTTTTCAAAATTCAATAGTTATACTAGTAAATAACGTACGATATATTTCAAAGTTCAATAGTTAAAACTCGTCATTTTAAATTTCATTGACCAATAAAAAAACATGGATTTAAATTTAGTGAGCAATTGAAGATACGGATCTAAGTTCAGTGACCAAAATTAGATATTTTAAATTTCAGTAATTAATAAAAAACATGGACCTAAGTTCAGTGACCATGGAAACAATTAACTAAATTTTGTCAATCTTCTTGTTTTTTGTGTTCCCTTTTCACTAAACTTTGTAAAATTATTATTATTTTTTATTTGTTTGGATATGATGAGTTTTAGCGGAAGTCTTCTGGTGATCGAATGTTAAAATGGTGTGTAACATTTGCCTTCTTTTATTTTCCTTTGAATATTCTGCAGATGTTAATGTCAGATCATTTTATAGAATTAATTAAGGATACAAAAGCATTGGCGAGATCAAAGAGAGCACATTCTTTACATCACAATAAGAAGCATCATCCGCATCAGACATCAAAATCACCTTTAGTTATCTCAAGTTATAAAGAAGGCCAAGGGAAGGAAGAAATAATACTTTATTCACACATCTGAATGTGTACAGTGCAGGATATATATAGAAAATTATCATCACTGAGATTGTGTGAGACTGTGACACGTTTCCTAATTGCCTAACTAAATGCATTGTGATTGCAACAGGTGTACACATTTACAAATACCAATTTACAATGGATTTGCAAGTATCAGCAGGTCAGATTTGTTCTTTGCTAATATTTCCCCGCAAACGAAGGGTGGTAGGAGAAAGAACCCTGAGTTTGTGCTTCAACCAAGTAAAATGTTGAACAGCAAGAGGTTTTGTGAGGATGTCTGCAACTTGATCTAATGCGGGAACATGCTGGACAGCAAGAGTGTTATTAAGAACTCGTTCCCTAACAAAGTAAAGGTCAAGCTCCAAATGCTTTGTACGAGAATGTAAAACTGGATTAGCACTAAGTGCCACTGTGCTCAGATTATCACATCAGATGACTGGAATTTTAGTTTGATAGATTCGAAGCTCCTTAAGTAAAGATTGCAATCATATTAATTCAGAAGTAGCATTAGCTAAGCTACGGTATTCAGCTTCAGTACTTGAGCATGAGACGGTAGATTGTTTCTTTGAGCTCCATGAAACTAGATTATCTCCAAGAAATAAACAATAACCAGAAGTGGAGCGATGGTCATCTAAGTCCCGTGCCCAATCAGAATCTGAAAATCCATGAAGATAAAGGTTATTTGACTTGGAGAAGTGGAGATCATGATTTGCAGTACCACAAAGATATCGAAGAATGCGTTTAATTGCCTTCCAATGCGGTTCAAGAGGAGATTGCATGAATTGACATACTTTATTTACACAACATGCTATTTCAGGCCTAGTGATTGTTACGTATTGCAATGTCCCAACAGTGCTTCGATGTAAAGTTGGATCTCCAAATGGATCACCATAAGAGGAAGTGAAGGACAGACTTGCCACCATGGGTGTTGGTTGTGGTTTAGAATTGCTCATCTTAACTAGATCGAAGAGATCCTTGATATACCTCTCTTGAGACAATAACAGACTACCAGTAGTAGTATGTTTCACCTCAATCCCTAAAAAATAATGAAGACTTCCCAGATCTTTCAAGGAAAATTCAGAGTGTAAATAAGAAATCAGATACTCAATTTTTGGACTGCTGCTACTAGTAATCAATATATCATCTACACACACAATGTGTCATTGCATTTGATAACAAGAGAAGTATCTGCTCGAGAAGCATGAAAACCAAGAGACAATAGGTAAGTTTTCAAACGATCAAACCACACTCGAGAGGCTTGTTTTAATCTATACAAAGCTTTATTGAGCTTACAGACCAACCTATCATGTGGTGCAGGAGCTTCAAATCTAGGGGGTTGAGCCATATATATATATATATCTTCAAGCAATATGCCATTAAGAAATACATTATTTACATCAAGTTGACGTACCTGCCATCCACGAGTAATAACAATGGAGAGAACCGCACGTATGGTTACTGGTTTCACTACAGGACTAAAAACATCTGAGTAATCAAAGCCAGGAAATTGATGGTAACCTTTTGCAACTAGTCGCACCTTGTATCGAGAGATAGAACCATCAGGATTTCTCTTGAGTTTAAACACCCATTTGTTGCCAATCAACTTTCTGTCTGGGAGCAAAGAGACTAAGTTCCAAATACCATTGTTAATTAATGCAGTATATTCCTCATGCATTGCCATATTCCATTGAGGACATTTGAGAGCTTCTTTGAAAGAGTTTGGTTTGTTGTTTTGTAGGTCGGTCGTGAGAAGAACTTTAGGTTTAAAGATTCCAGCCTTGGATCGTGTGACCATATGATGAGTGTTAGTAGGTGGTGGAGACATAGATGATGATTCTGATGGTGAAGGCAGGATAGCAGGCAATGGTTCTAGCTCGGTAGTTGATTCACTAGGGAACGACGATGACATAGAGTGTGTTAGGGAGTGAGGTGCTAGTGAGTTTTGCTGTGAGAAATCATGGTTGGTAATGTTCTTAGCAAAGAAGTAGTAGAAGATTGTCCAAGATGAGTTGATTGCATAGGTGGACATATGACTGGAGGAGGTTGACTGACACTAGAAATTGTAGAAGACTTTTGTGAAGCATAAGGTAAAGTTTTCTCATTGAACACTACATGACGAGATATGAAAATCATTCCATCAGGTGCTAAGCACTTATACCCTTTGTGGTTATGACTGTAACCAATGAATGTACACGGGGTTGATCGAAAGTTTGATTTGTGTTTGTTATAGGGCAGAAGGCAAGGGAAACACATGCAGCCTAACACACGTAAAAATGTATAATCAGGTTTGGTATGCAATAGCCGTTCCAAAGGAGACTGACCACTCAAGACTGTAGTGGGTAATTTGTTGATAAGATATACGGCACTTGAGAACGCATCATCCCAAAATTTTAGAGGTAATGAGGCTTGGGCTAAAAGAGTAAGACCACACTCAACAATGTGTCTATGCTTACGTTCAACAAATCCATTTTGTTCAGACGTATGAGGACAAGAATGTCTGTAGGTTATCCCAGTTGAACTCAAGTACGGTGTAAGAGAACGAAATTCACCTCCCCAATCCGTTTGAAGAATTTTGATCTTTTCGTCGAGTAATAATTCAACTTGAGTCTTGAAACGAAGAAAAACAGAATATACTTCAGACTTGTTTTTAAGGAAAAATATCCAAGTAAACCTAGAGTAAGCATCCACAAAGCTTACATAATAACGATAACCATTTGTGGAGGGTGTGAATGCTGAACCCCATAGATCAGAGTATATCAAATGTAATGGCTCATGATAAACAACCCTAGAATGAGAGAACGGTAACTTTTTACTTTTCGCCAATTGGCAAGCAAAGCAAAATGATAAATTTTCATTCATTCGAATAGGGATATTACATGAAGATAGAACCGTCCTGACAATTGAAGCAGCGGGATGACCAAGCTTCTTATGCCAGAGGTCTATAATTTGATTGACTCTAACATTAGACTTAACTGGACTAGAAGACACTGGACTCAGACTAGCACCTACTGACTATAAAGAAAAGGCAGAAAGAGGATTCGACTGATGTTGAATAGAAGAACTTGAGGATGACAATGGAGATGATGCAGGAGATGCCTTAAACAGATTAAACCGATACAGCCCATTATGTAGTCTCCCTCGGAGTAGCTCCATTCCCGTGGCCTAATCCTTCACAAAACACAAATTCGGGTGAAATTCGAAATAAACATGATTGTCACAAGCAAATTGGCTAACACTAAGCAAGTTCTTTGTAATTTGTGGAACATGCAATAGTTTGGACAAAGTATAAACACGGGACGAATTAGAAGACCTAAAAAAGGAAGAGCCAACATGAGATATTGAGAGACCTTTACCATTACCCATCACAATTTTATTGCTCCCCAGATATTCATTGCCAATATGCAGATTGTTCAAGTCATTAGTCACATGATTTGTTGCTCCCGAGTCTGGAAACCACCCATTCTCAGCAAGTAACTTAGGGGCTGCCATCATTGCTGCCATTTGAGTGGACCTATCTCCACTTTGACTACTTGAAAGAGAGGTATTCCTAGCACTACTGAAACCAGAGAATGAAGGGTCAAAATGGTAGTAGCATTTTTGCACTGTGTGTCCAATTCTACCAAAAAGTTGGCACTGAGGCTTGTTGTTGCCATTCCATGTTCTGTTTCCACCGCGGCCATCACGACCTCTGCCTCGTAAATTCAGATTTCTCCCAAGAGAAAATTTTTGGACATTATCCCCATTTTTCTGTGACTGGTCTTGAAGTGCCAAATTCACAGTGGCTTGTGACCCATCTCCATTTGCGGAATACTGTTCAATCCGATTTTCATGTGCGAGAAGAAGCTCAGTTACATCTTGTAAAGAGTAGGGCTCTACACATGATGTAACAGAGACGATAACAGATTCATACTCAATTCCCAACCCAGCTAGAACATAAAGTATTTGGTCCTCCTTTAAAATCTTTTGTCCAGCAGAAGTAAGAACATCAGCAGAGGTCTTCATCTTCAGGAGGTATTCACGCATACTCAAACCTCCTTTCTTCTGGGTCTAGAATTGAAGCTTGTGTTGCATCACCTTTGCCTTAGATCTGGATGCAAACAGACGTTCAACAATACGCCAGATATCACTGGCCGTGTTTGATCCCACCATTTGGGCTTGAATGCTCTCCGTCATTGACACCAATAACCAAGAGAATATCTGTTGGTCTTGGCGATGCTAGAAAACATAGTCTGGATTAACGGCCCTGGTTTACCACTTACGGTTGGAGTGAGTTCTGGAGGACAAATAGCATAACCATCTATAAATCCCTCCAACCCAAAATCGCGAATTCCAGCGGGAACATGTTGTCTCCATATGAGAAAATTTAAATCATCCAAACGTACAATAGCTAGTTGATTTGCAGGATTAATAGGTTGGGAAGGTTGAGATAAGGAGAAATTGGGAGTGGGTTCAGCATTATTGATCAGATTAAGGCTGAATTCAGTGGTTGGGACTTGATTTTCAGAGATGGAATTTGGAGACGTCATATGGCTCTGATACCATATAAAGAAGGACAAAAGGGAAGGAAGAAATAATACTTTATTCACACATCTGAATTTGTACAGTGCAGGATATATATAGAAAAATATCATCACTGAGATTGTGTGAGACTGTGACACGTTTCCTAACTGCCTAACAAAATGCATTGTGATTGCAACAGGTGTACACATTTACAAATACCAATTTACAATGGATTTGCAAGTATCAGTAGGTCAGATTTGTTATCTGCTAATATAGGTACAGCCAGTGGTGGAAAGAAGCAGCCGGGCAAGCAAGTTGCAGAGAAACCCCAGCAATCTCAGAGTTCTAGGAACCTCCCATCAAATTGGGAAGAATTTGTTTCGGATTTGGAGGATACAGCCGAAGGCAGCAGTAGCCAGGCAACTGATATTGTGCGAAAGAGTAAAAGCGCTGATTATGCTTACTTACTTTCAGAGGCCAAGGCTCAGTCTGTTATTCTTCCGATATCTATTCATAACTCAATGATGTCCTTGATGGTATATCCTTCACCCTTCAAAAGCAAACAACAAATATTTCTTTCGCCTAACAATAATAGAAAGCGGGGACAATGAAGAGAACTAAATCAATGGAAGGGGGGGGGGGGGGGGGAGAAAAAGAAGAGAACTAAATCAATTGAAATATAGTGAGTTAAGTGTGTATATGCGGTACATATGAGAAAGGATATGGACAATCCTTATTCATGTAGACTTTGAAATGAACAAGTATGTTTTAAGAAGAATTGGTTGTTTTGATCTGTTTAATTGACACATACACCCACAATCTTCTAATAGCTAGCTTAGGCATTTGATATACTTTATATGAAGTGCTCTATCTTATCTTTCTAATCCAAGACCCAGCCTTGGTTAAAATTAGGCTTCTATCATAGTGTTGTGCTTTTATTTATCTATCCAAAATCGTTGCCTTCATTTACTCTATTTTTCTTTTAACATAGGTTTGAAGCATTTTGAAGGAGACTTTAGTTTTTCCAATATATTGGAGGAGAAGTTGAAAGAATGTGTTTTATTTTATTTAACTTCTCTGACATAATTGTTTATGCACTAGACGTGCATCCTACCTCGTACATCTTGTGTCTAAATATGACTTTTATTGTGTGATCTTGGCTTGTTTATTGAATGAAATTTAAGTAAACAATATAAATCATGTAATGGCCTAATTGATCAAATCGTTAATTAAAACCTTTTAGGCATTATAGGTTTTGTAGATGATACGACTGGGGATAGACTTCAGTCTTTCTTATACTTCACTCAGGGGTTAGGTCTATTGCTTTCTGCCAGAGGGCAAGGCAATATCTCGTGGATAGCAGATGATGACTTCAAGTTGGAAGACAAATCGACAACCAGTTATGAGGTAATCTTTCTTCTCCATTATATAAAAACTGAAGTTGTTCTACTTGTCCATGATTCTTTTCTAGCTACACGCAGAGTTCGTAAGAAAGAGAGAACTAGTGTACTAAAACTGCAATAAGTCTTCTATGTGGTAACTATTTACCATATTTTTCAGGACATAGTAGTATGCTCTAGTGTAACAAATATTCCTCCCTATTTTTCACCCCAATATTGGTGGTAATTTGTGTCTTTCTTCTGCTGTCAAAGTAGCTTCTATGAACTGAGATAAATGCGCCATCTGTTTCTTTCTCTGACCATTATCCGCCTCCATGGGTCCTCTACTTAATGAATTAATATATCTTTTACCATTTAGCAAAATGTCATATTCCTAAATCTCCCCAACCACCCAAAATCTTAAAAAAGAAGCTTTATCCATATAATGTAACACCACCTTAACTTTTGTTGGTTTCACCAAAAGAAACTCTGGAAACTTGTTCTAAAATTGGAGAGCACTATTGATTAGAGGCGTGATTGGGGACATTGCTAGATATGTTTGGCGCTCAATAAAAATTATATAGGGATAGTTAGCCATGTATAAAATGTGGATAAAATATGATAGTGTTCCATCTCGGTGGTAGTTCTACATTTGGCCAAATTTGCACATGAACTGCGATGTTATATGTGCCTGTAATCCTTTTAGCACAATATTGATAATCCCACGGTCCCATAATATCATGTCTTGTGGCCGAATTTCTTTCCACCCTTGTATGAGCCTCATTATCTAAAAATTTTATTTTTCTTAAACTCATTTTCAATCATACGTTCTTCCAATAAAATAATTTGCACGGACACCCAAAATCTTACCCTACTTTCTAACCACACATTCTTCAAAAAATTACTTTTACAAAATCCATTTTTTTGTTAAAAATGAGGCTCAATCATGTTGTTGGTCTTGTTGAATTAACAAAGTGGATTTTTTGTCTTTTCACAGTAAGAAGCCCAAAAACGCAATAAAACTGAACTGAAAATTTGTCAAAAAGGAAAAAATGAACTAAAAAAAAATGAGAAAGTATCTAAAATAATTAATTTGTTCTCCACCCCCCCCCCCCTTTTTGTTCAAAGTCAATTTTAATACTTCCCCCCCCCCCCCCCCCCTTTTGTTCAAAGTCAATTTTAATACTTCATACATATTTGGTATGTTAAATTAGTTGGTTGAAAGAATAAATAGTCAAAGTTGAAGTGAAAAGATACATTTAAGATACCATAAAAATAAAGAAAATCCGATAACATTTCACTGCTTTCCATTTTCTCTTTTATGTTCGATTTCTTTATTTGACCCACATTATTTTCTAGAAGCCGTTTAAGTAATGTGTGGAGTAAAAAGTTCATGATGCAGATTTCACTGTCAAGAGGGAATTTGTTATTAGTTATAGACTAGGCATTTTGCTACCAAAAATATAAAATACAAAAATGGGATTGCCATATCAAAAACAATGAGTGAATTAGGCAACAAGGATTTTGCTAGCTTAGGACAGTTAGAGTTACTACCACCATCTATGCGGGTTTCATTCAAAGCAACTCTAATTCATAAGTCCCATGGAATTGAATTGAGCATGTGCTTTTTCCTTCTCTTGAATTGAGTGTTCATTTTTGTGAAGTAACCATCTGCGCCCTCTGTCCTTACGGAACCATAATGTCTGCTTCGACTATCAAGCCTTTGGAAAAAATAATTCATAAACAAGTCCTCCTTCTTGGCTTTGGATTGTTAACAAATATTATAACATAATTACTAGTTTAATGCCAGAAAATACTGCATTCGGTGTACCTAAGTTTTTTTTACCTGTTTCCCTTTCTTCTCCTTCCTAATGTATTTATTACTTCTGGAAAGGGTGAAAAATAAGAAGTATTGGCATTTTTTCCCTCTGATCAATGTTGCATTTTTAAACACGCAGGCACCATTTTTATCCCTAAATATGCACGCTCTTGCTGAACAACTCGCAAAAGCAAACGTTTCAAAAAGGCTTTTTGCTGAACCAGATCTACTAACTCTGGAGCTGGTACTTAAAATTTCCGCGACTCTGTTCCATTTCTATTTCACATGGATCTTCTCAGAATTCCTTGAGGCCTCAGATTTCTACATGACATCAATATGGCTGAGTTCTATGCATTTCCAGTTTGATGCTTTTTGTCTTGGTATTTTTTTTTTATTTATTTTTAATTTTTTTACATCAAGTTATGCATGTCATTGTTGATTCTTTGATACGTTGAATATGGTTGATTTCATGTTTTGATTATGACAAACAAGATGGTTTGCATAAAGTCATAACAACAAATTCATAAGGGATAAAAATTTTAGATACCACATGTGATTCATATATTCTCCTCATCTTTCATACATATATTTCCCCTATTTTTTACAACTCAATAACCATCTTAAGCACATCACATTTTTTGTATTTATAATAGTATATATGCATATCATCTCATATGTTGTTCCCCTTTTAGCATAAGCAAAAAATATTAAATGGGGATCTAAAAACAAGTCATGCAAGATAAAAAAGACGATCATAGGCACAAATAGTCGCAAGTAAATTCCCTCTTAAAGCAACATATGATATCAATCAATGAAAGGTTAAGATAGAGCAAATTGCATCCATGACAAAAGTTACCAGATTGTATAGCGTGAAGAAGCGAGACATAGCATAAGCGTATCCAAAACACATAAGCATAAAGGAGTATCCAAAACACTTAAACATAGAACGCAAACCATAGCTACAGTTCTGAAGGAAGCGATGGAGGGAAGTGAGCGTAAAATGCACTCTTCTGAGCTTGCATTGCCGCTTGTTGAACTTGAATTGCATCTTGTTGGACTTGCATGGTAGCTTGTTGAGTTTGAATTGCATCTTGTTGGGATTGACTATCCCAACAAGATGCAATTCAAGCTCAACAAGCAGCGATGCAAGCTTAGGTGACTGCCTTTTAAGCTCACATCCCTCCACCACCTCCTCTGGAGACTGGAGCCGTAGCTATGACTTACGTTTTATGTTTATGTAATTTGGATGCTCCTTCATGTTTCTGTGCTTTGGATACACTTATTCTTCATCTCGCTTCTTCATGCTATAAAATTTCGTAACTTCTTTTGTCGTGGATGCAATTTTCTCTATTTTAACCTTTCATTGATTGATATCGCGTGTTGCTTTAAGGGAGAATTTACTTGCTACTATTTGTGCGTATGGTTGTCTTTTTTATCTTGCATGACTTGTTTTTAGATTCCCACTTTATACTTTTTGCTTACGCCAAAAGAGGGAAAACATAGGAGATGGTATGCATATATACTTTTATAAATACGACAAATGTGATATTCTTAAGATGGTTATTAATCTGTAAAAGATTGGGGGAAGATATGTATGAAAGATAGGGGGAATATAATAATCATATGTGATATTTAAAATTTTTATCCCTTATCAATTTATTGTTATGATTTTATCCAAATCATCTTGTTTGTTAAAATAAAAAAGGGGGAAATTGTTGACCTAATGTTTTGATCATAATAAACAAGTTGATTTTATTTCTAACAATTTAATTCAAGTCTTCATAACTATTATTGCAAAGTTGATTATTTGGGGACAAAAAGATCGCTACCAAAAGACTCGCATTGGACGATTAATAAAAATCGAGAAGAAAGTCAAGTATTCACGACAAATCACTCGAGACAAAGAACTTCAATAGTCAAACATCGAAAATATTAGATTAAGATTTTCTGCATTCATGTGCAAAGGTACAACACTTTAATCTTTAGCAATGAATCATTAAAAGCTCAATGAATAAATTTTTATACATGAGAAAATTATTTCATAATAACATTTGCATAAAAATTATTTTTCAAAAGGTAAGTATTTCAACTTGATATTGAAACTCACTGCAATATTACTTTGAAAAATAAAGTGAAAAATGTCATTCAAAAGCCTATATTTTTCAAAACAATTAAGAAAGAAAAATTTGGGAAAATTATGTCCAAGTGGACGTCCGATTGGGACATTTGGTTCGTCCAACGGTAACTCTTCTAAACGTTCTGAATTTTGATGCACAATGGCTAGCTTGGGTGTTCGATCCAGAATGTGGGCGTCCGGATTGGTTGTCCAGTTAGTCAGAAATTTTGGCATTTTGACCTCTAGAAATATTATTTCACTCTGCATTCGTTTTAAGACTTTTAATCTCGCATCTTATTTAACTTCACCAAATCAATTATTTAAAAAAAAAATTGATGAATCAACTTTTGAAAAACATCTTTCTTATCAAAGTTTTTCTAACCTAACACTTAATTTTCATTCATTGCTATTCATTAAAGTGTTAGCCTATTTCTTTCTTAATACTTAATTTGTTTATATCATTTATTAAAAGAGAAGTTTCAAATTATAAAATCATTCCTCTTTAAATTTGTGGGTTATATTGAGGTCCCGAAAAACTCAATATTGTACAAAGATCGGTGCTTTTTGTTTGTAAGTCACCGAAAGAGCTGTAAGGGTTTGGATTACAACATAAGTCGATCAAATTTAGTGAAAAAGTCTTGTTGGAGACGGAGAGCTCGGTAACGGAGGACGTAGATCATCGTTTTGGATTGAACTTCCACAATTATATCGTTTGCACATTCTCTTCTCTTTTATTTATCACTTTCATATTTGTGCACTTTATTTGATTAATGTTTTTTTTCCAAACTTTGTTCATACTTTGAAGTAGCTTTTTGAAAAAGTTTTAGAAAATCAATTCACCCTTCTTAGATGGCTATTCTTGGGCTTTTATGATAGAAGCTATAGAAGCATAAGGCTTATCAATGGATGTTCACTTGCCTAGGTAGCTGTATGGGATCAGTTGTGCATTAAAGCTTGTGCACCACTTGGCTATAGTAGTTTATTAACTGAAGACAGATATAGCTTGTTACCTTTCCCTGCTTTATATTTATGATACTATTGTGTTTTTGCTTCTGAAACAATTTTTTTCCCCGTGATTTTCCTAACGGTTTATGCATCGGTGATCTAATTTATGCATCATATAGGCTTGTTTTCCAGATCTGAAGTGTGAATTTGAGAACTTGGACCCAATGCAGGTGTAAGTCCTAATTTTATTGGCCAAAATTGGCACTCTATTGTACGGCACTTCAACTAAGGTAGTGTGTCCGTGTCCGACACTTCATTACCAACATTCTTCGGATACTCTATCATAATTATTTTTCTTTTTATTAAAAAAATTATATATTTTTATTTTAAAGTTATTAGTAAATAATATATAGGTACTTATATTAAAAGAATTTAAGAAGAAAATTAATAACAAGTATAAAACTAAATTTATACTATATAAATGAAGAATTTCAACAAATTTGATCATCATATTAACGACGAATCGTGTCAGTACTTTTTGAAAAATTGCGTGTCTAATTATTCGACATGTATCGTGTTGGACACATGTGTTCGTATCGGTGCATCATAGTTGGCAAATTATTAGGCCTAATACTAGAAAAACAAGATTTAAATGAATATATTAGACCCACTATAGTAGCTTAAATTTTTAGATGAGATTGCCAAGATGGTGTTAGGCAAAAAGCATAGGTTCAAGTCTCATTTCCCACCAATATATAAAGAAATTGTGTGTCAGACCATTGATCATAAAATGAATTTGGATTGTACATGAGGAGCATATTGAAAACAAGATTTAAATAAATACACGTAATCCCTTCCGAACATCTTTAGCTTTTAAATGAATTAGGCTTACAAATACAAAAACTACTCTACCTTACCAATTCATCCTATAGGATTGTGCCACATTTACATCTAAAGATTACCTACGAAATAGATGTTTGCATGGGATTGAGCCCTTGTGTCTATAACTACCCATATACCAACAAGCAAAAGTCGGCATTTCTGTAGGTCTGTGATCTATTACTTTTCTTTTATATTTAAACACTATATTATATTATTCTTAGTAAAAACTGCTATTCTTTTGTTCAACTTTTTATATCTGTTGTGGCATTACTCTTGAAGTAAAATGTACAATTTTTATATTATTATTAATATATAGTTATTTCAGACACCCTCAAGGTGTTCTCATCCTCTAATACTTAAAATAGTGACAGTCTCTTGGTCATTATTCCGAAGTCATCACCTTGTTTGATGCCATTGATTTCTACCTTTTCTTCTTGCTATGATTCATTTTCTAGGTTTACTTTGTTTATTCTTCAGATTGTGCTGCATGAAAATAAACTACGTATTATATTTATAAGGAGCTATAATTCTTAGTTTTCTCGAAATCGTCTTGTTGATGCTGCATATGTTTTGACTCTATCCATCTCACTTTTTGTGGAGTCTTTAATTTGTGTATGTTCTATTCTGGTGGAATTTTGCGTTTGCAAGGCTTGTACGCATATCTGTCATTGCTATTTCCATTTATTCAATAAAGTTAACATTTTTAGATGAATTTGATGCTTCTGGTGGATGATTGTATTATCTAAGCAGTCATAGTCAGAAAAAATTTAGGAAGAAATACTAAAAATTCTTGAACTTCTGTTACCTAAATTGCCCAATAAATTTTATAAGCATCTGAAGAAACCCATACTACCAATTTTCTTACCTCGGTATGACTGTTCAATTAAGTCCTAGCACCATTCAAATAAATTAAAGGGAAAATTGCAGCTGGGGTCATTATTCTTTGGAAAATATAGCACTTGGGGTCCTCATTCAATTTTTTGAGGCATTTAGGTCCTCAACCTTTCAGAAAATTGGTACTTAGGTTCCTATTTTGGATGGAAACCGTCAGTCATGCAATCAAGTTGATGTGATGGTGTTTATGCCTAGTAGGGCAACATGGGTAATACATAATCTCAATCGAAAAAGGAAAGATGAGGAGAAGAGAAAAGCTACTTCACCTTCTCCAACCTATGGTTTTTGCTTCTAAGCTAAAATGTCAAGTTGGAAGCTTAACACAAGAATCTATGGTTTTGGCAAAACAAAGTCCATTTCAAATAATAATTTCTAAGACTTGGGTTCTGCAATCTGGAGGTACAAAGATTTGTACGTTTGGATTTTTAAAGAGAGTTCTTGGAAATTTTCCTGTACTTCGTGTTGGGAAATTTTCAACACCGGGGAAAATGGAGAACCAAGATATAGATAATATCAAGAAGATGAATATGAATAAAAAATTATGATGAAAATAAAGGCTCAAACACGACATTATATCACTGTCCTCAAACGATATTTGCCCCCTCTCGATAACAATTTGGGAGCTTAAAAGGTCTCGCGGCAAACGGTTCGAAGGATTGATCAAGTCTTGTTGTAGAAAATCACAAAAGCACAAATGATTTTCTACCCGAACTTGAAGAATACAAGAGGGAAGAATTGAATATGGAAGAAATGATGTTTGATCGTTTTTGTGGAATGAAAATTATGTTTCTCATATATTTGTAATGATTTTTCATTATTTTACAATGTCCATCTATCACATATATATAGGCATGGACCGTAGCTTCATGAAGTGGTGTCAACAAATAATGAAAAGCCGCCAAATACCAAAACTGGAAAATTGTCTAACGGCTAATTTTCCCTCTATGCGGTCGAATAGAGTAAACCTATGCGATCACATAGGTTCTTTCAAAGTAGGGCCTTTAGTCCCTGTATACCACCATGCAAGTGCACTTTGCGGTCGCATGGTTCAAGTTTTGACCGTCGATTTTCACTTGTATTTTACTTTTGTTCCTTTTCCATTCCACACTCGTTTAGATTTTTGAACAATATTTTCATCAATCTCCCACTTGTTCAAAATTCAATAAAATTTCATATTCAAAGTATACGATACTCATGCATAATGATTAGATATCTTTCGATTTGAATCTAACCATAGTGTAATCCAAACAAAGTAAAGTCGGAATCAAAGATAACTTGAAGCTTTGAACCATTTGTTCCTTGTGACAATATCGGTAAGGACACACACACGAGCATTACGTGTTCTCAACTTCCTCAATCTGGCTTAGGGCTCATATGACCTTGCGCTTATTCTTTTCAACAAACTTTTAAGAGAGAAACTCTAACTCTCTATTGAGACGGTACCACCTCAAAGTTTATTTAGGTGAAGTTCTTTCAGTACCTTTATTACTTTTAGAGATGCTTGTGTTTTAGCACTGAACTTCATTAAGAGCTCAAAGCTCAACCCTCATTCAGTAATAACCAGCATTATTTTAATTAGGATATGATTATTGCAGATTTTTATAATGCTGAAACTATCCACATATCGAATGACTTTTTGTTATCCTTTGAACCCGTAAATTACCTTTTGAGTAATGACAGGTAGGGTTGTCGTCATTAGTGAACCTTTATAGTTTAGGAGTTTCAACCATATCCTACTCGAAGTAGATGCCACTAAAAATCTATTTAGTGGTTTAAAGTATCTGTTACGTCTTTATGGAAATTAT